AAAAAGCAAACAAGCAAGACTTTGTCTCACATACTTTGGACATTTTATTAGGAGAGACCAGTCCCCGGAGAAGGACATCATGCTTGGCAGAGTGGAGAGGCAATGAAAATGAGAAAGGCCCTGCACTGACACAGTGGCTGCACTGATGGGCTCAAGCATAAGAACGGCTCCGAAGACGGCAAAGGACTGAGAAGTGTTGAGTTCTGTTGCAACGAGGGTCGCTTTGAGTCAGAACTGACATGAGCGTCCTAACCACCACCACCACCACCACCTGTTACTTAACAGCCAAGCGCTTATCACTGTTCCAGCAGAGCTCCTTAAAAATGAATTCTACAGCTGTGCACATTTCAAAGCAAGGTAATGCCGTAATAAATAAAAAGATGGAGACATTATAATAGAGAAAAAACTATTTGGGCACTAAGTTCACCCAGAACATCTGAGTACTAGGTTAGAGTGCTTCGGTCTTTAAATTAAAAAAATAAAATAAAAGTGATGCAAATGCCAAATAAAATCTCACCTATTTGATGAGCTGACACCCCTACGACTTTCCCATCTTTATGTTAGGAGTGAACTATATTCCAACAGGGTAAAGGAGCCTGTCTCCCCTACAGTAGCCCGGCAAACAGAAGCAGCCAAGCAGACCATTGCATCAGTTGTGAGTTGACTAGCACGGGGCCCTGCGCCAGTCTGGCCACTGCTGGCCGTCAGCCCTCCAAGCAGAATGAGAGGAGCTGACGAGAACTGTGTGTTCTCAATGAAAGCCACCTTGGTGCAAGGAAACCAGTTAAAACTGATCGACTTTCATCTCCGAGTGTTTCTTTCTCTGCCTGCCTTTGAAGCCAAATAACTATCCGTTTAAAAACATGACATAGCTAGCAACTTTAACATTTAGCTAAAAAAAAAATTGAAATCTTGATTAGAAAACGGAGAACTAAAAGGACATGTGGGGAACAGAGGGATTTCTCTTAAGTTGTCTCCCCAAAATATATGCCAGACTTAGCTTGAGAATAATTGTTCTCTAGGCAGCGAAAATAGGTCAGAGGTTATTCTCCTTAACATCAGCCATCTAGAACAGCCAGACTGCATAGTCTGACTCACCCCAAATAGGGCCCATTCCTTTCTGTTATTGTTCCCTCGAAGCAGTGCCCATAGGCAAGCCTGGGACCACTCTAAGATGACTAAGCTTAGGCTACTATAGCACATTCGCCCCTAGGTCATCCCCCTCCTATTGCTTGTATTGCCTATGTTACAACCCCTCTCTATGACGTAAGTTGTTATCTGCTACCAGGGGGCTTGCATGCCTCTCAGGATAGTAATTGCCTGCTTTATTGTATGAGACACCAGAATGATCAAACCTGCTCAAGGATGAATTGTATTGCCCCTTTCTGTGATGTATGACTCTATGATGCATGGTTAGCAATAAATAAGGATGCTCCCTGGTTCTCGGGAGGGTGGCTGGAGATGGTGACTAAGGAGGATGAAGCAGCGGCTTCTTCTCTGACGGCTAAGCCCCCTCCACGAGGACCACCAAGCTGGGCTGAGGTGAGCAATGTTGCTATGTATCATGTAATGTGTCTGACTGTATTATTGTAATAACTCTCATGCTCTTGATGTCTTTAATATAATACTTATATATCTCAACCGTACAATTGTGCATTACTGAACCCAGAAGTAGTATTACTGAATTCGTAGGAGTAATCAGTGGGTGGGGGCTGGTACCTCACCCTCCATCGGCGTCGATATTTGTTAATTTAATACTACAAGGACATCTTTTTAATGTATAAAAACATGCATAAGGCTTTGAAGATACGCTTGATGATAAAAGCAAGCAATAAATCCATTCACAGTACCACATTACTAGAATTAGCTGCTGGGAGAGACAGAATGTGATTACAGACTAGGATTTTAAAGCCAGATGGACTGGATGTGGATTTCTGATCTTCATGTAACTCTGGGTAAAATATTTAATTCTACCTCAATATTTTCATCTGTAAAATGGAAATAATAAGAGTACTTTCTTCTCATAGTTTGCGCTGAGGATGGCAAAGCACTTACAAGTGCATGGTAAAGCTGTTAGCTATTATTATGATTACATATCTGTCCCTATTTCCCTAATTTAAAACCATACAGTATACAAAATTTAACTACGAATACACAGGGGGGAAATCCTCATTTTAAAAATGCAAAACTATAGTATTCAAATGATTCATAAAGCTAACCAGGACAAGTAGAAAGGAAAATGCACAGTGTTTAATCATCTAACACTATATTTTAACATAACAATAAATTTAGGGAAGCAGAAATAAAATGTAACTGGGAGTTTAAGCAGAAGTCTTTCTTCCCTGGTTGATTTTGAAATAAATAAATAGACCTTTCTACTTGCTACAGTACCTTTGATAAGTCGATACCATTGTTTGCAGACGAGGGCTGCCGTTTTGTGCTCCTGATACGGCGAGAGAAAGGACAGGATATACTCCAAAACCTCTTCCGGCAGTTCAGACATGGATCTGTTATGTCTCGTCTCGTGGGTCTCCAGGGCGGGATGAGACTCCTCATCGTGCTCCATTGTCCCTTCCAGCACAGTTTCTTCTTGGTCCACAGCCATGAAGCTGTCATCCTCACTGTCCGAGGAGCTGGCCATGACATCCCACTCAACAGCTGTGTAGGAAAGAAACAAACATCAGTCTACACCTCAGAAGGTGTGAAGCAACTCAGGCATGTGTGAAGCTGTTCATGATCTCTTTTCCATACTTAATGGGATAGCTGCTCTGCAGCACTTTCCCACACTAGATACTTTCATTTGCCAAGGACAGTTCACAGACCAAGCCCATCCCAGAGATCTAATAAATCCCCAAAGGCTTCTGATGGCATTTTCTCTCCCTTGAAAACCAGAATGACAACTGAATTCTTGTATAACCATAAAGCCTGAAAGGCTGAGAGGATCGGACTGGCAGGTAGCAAGGGAAGAGCAACTAGCCTCCCTTATCTCATAAAGATCCACGGCCTCAAACTTACAAGGGAAAACTACCTATGGGTAAGCCTAAGAGGGATGAGAACACATTTGGAGGACGTGGGTCAGAAACTAAGTTTTCCTAGCTTGTATACAAGATAATTCACTTAAGAGGAAAACAAATGCACATGTATCAAGAAAATATTTAACTAGCTCAAATACTGAATACAAGGCAGTTTTCCACCTTCCCTCAAAATTATATTTATAACAAATCCAGGCATTACACCAGAAAAGCAGCGTACATGAGGGTAAGTTAAAAACAAACAAGACAGGTACAAAATGAAAATATTTATTAAGTATCAAAATGTGAAGCTATTGCTTCTCCTTATGTCCTCCATCTAGGTTTATACACTTCTGAGGACAGTGTTTCCATCTCTCCAACCTTCCTCCCAAGAATTCGGGGCTCTTTGGTTTATACCACATCAAAATGGAAGGTGTGGTATCCTCAACAGATTCAAATTGTGTTCCAGCGAAATGGTATTTTGAGTTCTGAGAACAAAAAGTAGTCTGAAAGCGCACTAGGGTAAGGCTTCCCCATGAAAGTCTTGTAGGAGAGCACTTGCCATCCCCCTCAAGGAATAAACAGATATACAGGGGTCTCGATGGGAAACACTCCTTGGCACAACCCTGTTCTCACCAATGCAGCTTGTAACTTTCTTAAAATGTCTTCAAACAAGCATCCCTGATTGTCCTGTGTCTGAGAAAAATCTATCAAGATTAACTCTTTGAAATTCCGCCCCCCCCACCAAAAAAAAGCCCCCAAACCTGTCATCATAACTTTCTGAGCTGACCCAGAGTCCCTCGGAAGCCAATGTTTTGATTAAACTTTTTTTTTAAGGCACCGTAACAAGACTAGACAAATGTATTACTGAGAGAACTTGTCTACATCCATTCACTGATCACGAAGCCAGGTTTAAACACACTTTGTTTGGAATAAGTCCATGTAGATGTAAACTAAAATTCTGGTAAACTCATTGCCATCGATTCGATGATGGACTCAAGTGACTCCTTGTGGGTTTCCAAAACTATAACTGTTTACAGAAGTAAGAAGCCCTGTCTTTCTCCCTTTAGTGGCTGGTGATTTCGAACTGCTGATCATGCGAGTCGCAGGCCGACTCATAACCATTATGCCACCTGCTGTGGTATGTACACACAAATTCACAAAGTGGTTCACTGCTGTATTATTCTCTGTGGTAAAAACTGGAAACCACTCAAGTAGCTGTTAAAGGCCTGGTGCAGACCCAGCAACGCCTGTCTAAAGACAGTAAGGAATAAAGAGCGCAGAGAGAGGGGGCCATCTATTAGGCGGAAAGAGCAAGGTTCGTAGATTGCTGTTTGGCTAACACACTGGCCGGAGCTGCCCTCGAGAAGAGCATGACCTGGCACCAAAGCTGAGGTATTTCCTGAGGAAATAGCAGCAAGTCCTTTCTTGAGGAGGCATGTGAATTCATTTTATTATTTATAATACAACAATTTCCCTTGCTCCATACACATCTACCCAGGCTACGCAAGGGTAACTCACCATATAATTTCTAGTATCCTCACTAGCACTGATCAGAATAAAAAATAACAAGAGTGAGCTTGAAATATTCTTTGGAGCACTGGGAAAGATCTGAAATGTTTCAAAAGGAGTAGGAGACGAGGCGAGAACAGAAGCTTCCCATCTCAATACTATCACTACTATAACTCATAATGCTAATTATGTACAGCTTTAAAAACTGGAAGACAGAACACATAGATGGTGCCCAGCTACGACTACCCCTGACCACTCTGACCAGGATCACTGGTCACAAGACACAACCTGGGTCAGAATAGTTAAAAAATGTAGAATAAAATCCAAATCGGAGCGGGAGGGGGACACAGACAGGACGAGACTTACTGGTCTGAAAAGCAACTGGAGGGCCCTAATCTTCTAATTTAAGACTGAAACAATCTCTACTCGCCAAAGTTCAGCTAGTTAACAGACGGACCTAGAAAATAAGCACCCAGAAAGACTGTGCTCCTGAGTTAGGAAAATCAACTAAGACCAAAGGGGCAACATTTGTTCAAAACCCAAGATGAGAAAGTCGAAGTGCAGGGAAACCTGATGAGTGCACACAGAGAACCCAGAAAGGAAGGGGAGCGGGCTGACACACGTGCAGATAGCTACAAATGCCACAGAACAGTCTATGTATGAACGATTGATGGGAAATTAATTTTATTTATAAACGTTCACCTAAAGCACAACAAAATGTTCAAATACCTAACTCCTTGCAGTATGGGATGAAAAGGGGATGACAGCATTTCTCTCTTGCCCTCAAAAATAGAGAGGAGTATGAAGTTTGAGTTTAAATCATTTCATTTAAGTGAACAAAAGAGTTGTGCGGAAGCAGACATACGGTAACTAGTTTACTCAAATTGAAGTCTTGGAAACGCCACGGGGCCGCTCTAATCTGCTCTAAAGGGTTGTTATGAGTTTGAATGGACTCAGTGGAGATGGGTTTGGCTTTGATTACTTGAACTCCAAGTTGAACTTACTGGAGACGAAGGCCTTCTATCAAGATTCCTTGTTTCCAGCCCTAACTCCTACTCTAAAAAGTACTCGCTGCCATAGAGAGCCCCTGTGGTTTTCCGAGACTGTAACTCTTTACGAGAAGAGAAAGCCTCGTTTTTCTCCTGCAGAGGACCAGGTGGTTTTGAACTGTAGAACTTCTGAATTGTAGACCAATGCCCAACCACTATGCCACCAGGGATCCCTTACTCTAAAAAGTACTGAACTCAAAACAGACCCATTGCCACTGAATCAATTCCGACCCACTGTGACTCCATAGAACAGGGTAAAACTGCCTCCTGGAGTTTCCAAGGCTGTAAGTCTGTGGAAGCAGACTGCCACCTCTTGCACCTGCAGAGCAGTGGTGAATATACACTTTTTTTTTTTCCCTGACAAAAATCAGAATGGCTCACTGTGTATTTCTCTACCAGGAAAAATGTCACTTACCATATTCTTTTTGTTTTTTCATTGTATGTTATTATTTTTCACCTCCCACTAGCTATATCCTCTAATTTATTGGTTTTTCCACTCAGTCCTAAAATTTACCAAGGAAAAGAGTCCAACAAAACAGAGTTCTTGAGTTTGGCTGTATCTTTCCCACCTCAAATCAGTTGTTCCCTGAACATTTTGACAGTCTGTGGACCTCGAGTCTGTCAAACTCAAGCAATAGAGGTTGTAAGAGATTATTTATATTACTGTTTTGTGAACATTCTTCCCAAGTAAAATAAAGTTTGGTTCAATAGAACAATTTCCCTTTCCAAATCTTTTCAAAATATAAGTAACTTGTCAGCTACTAACTCATAACAGAGACCCAATAGGACAGAGTGAACTGCTCCTAAGAGTTTCTAAAGCTACAAATCTACGAAGATAGAACGGAAAGCCTCCTATTTCTCTGACAGAGCAGCTGGCGGGTTTAACCACTGCACAACCAAAGCTCCTTAAAAACACAATCACCAAAAACCCTCCTGCCACTGAGTTGACTCCAGCTCATAGGCACCCTGCAGGACTGAGGAGAACGGCCCCTTTGGGTTTCTGAGCTGTCCATCTCTACAGGAGCAGAGAGTCAGCGTTCTCCCATGGAACGGCTAGTGGATTTGAACTGCTGACCCTGATGTTAGCAGCCCAACACAAAGGAAAATACACTTAGTAAGTCTAAATAAAAGGATTCCTGTCATCAAATACCCAGCTTTGAGCAATCCTCACCATTCCAACCTTTCACGGTCCACAAAAACATCCAACCACACGCCCAGGGGCAGACTTGCTCACTTGGCACAGGGCCCAGATGCCAACAGCAACACACAGGGATGGGCTCAGATGCAATTCCTCTGTAATTACATGCCCAGCACCAATTTGCTCAGCCCTTCATTTTCACTCCCATGATTAGGTCATGAAATCATCACCCATGTTCCCAGAGGATACAGATGCATTCTCAAACTCTTGAGTTACAGTTTTTCCTCGTGTTCATGCCAAAAGAGTATCTACAAAACATTTTACATTTAAGTGTATTAACTCAGTAAATGTAGTTTTCATCAAAGTCTTTCTTTAAAAAATCTTCCTCACCCTTCACACTGGTTAGGCCTTCTCCGTTTCTGCAAACTGATGGGGTCTTTAGGAGAAAGTACACGCTGCACTGTCTGCCATCTGAGCCCCTTGAGAAGTGGAGGGGAGAGACTTCTAGGCATCTTTGCTTGGCTAGTACTTGGCATCTAGATGAGAACAAGGTCTATTGACTTTGCTACTCAGAGCACCCATGTGCTGAGTCATGTTATTTATAATAGAAATTACATCATGAGTCCATCCAGGAAACAGCAGACCCTACCCTTATATGTCGCTGGATGCTGTCAAGATATTTTATTGGTCAAAATTAGTATACCTCTCTTGTTCTTTGAGTTTTGACCTTTTAAGGACAGATTCCCCAGCTCCACCCACTGACCTTTGCTAGGTCAAGAGGGATGACCCTGACGAAACTGTTGCTCAAGCCCTGTAGAATCTTCCCGGCTGAAAACTACTCTTATGGAGCTACATGCAAACCTGTTTGTAGAATCTCAATACCTTGCCATTCTGAGGTACAAGCTAAGGTTAAGCTTTTAAAGCTGGGAAAGTGAACTGTCTCTAGCA